TTTCAGTCTCCAGATGAATCAACATTTATGCATTTATTGACAAAACATATAATTTTTTTAAAAATGGGACATTGTTGTTTTTTTTTTTTCACCCCAAATTGACAAACATCCACGATGACAATGTTTTTGTTTTTTTAAACATGTGAGTGTGATAAAAAGAGTAATGGTGTAAAAGCCCGAGCATTATTGCAGTATGTCAATTATATAATTAAAATTTTATCAAACACTGTTTCAGACAGTGCAGTTTGTACATTTTATGCAGAAGCAAAACTGCTTATGGAAATCTGGCCACTTAAACAAGTTTGATCAGAAATTATTTAAAAAGTTACAATAGTAGGTTCGGTATCTCCCAAAGAAAACCCATAAACAAATTTCTTGGTTAAAATGGTATAAAATATTCCATATATTCCTCATAGAAAGGATGGTGAAATTAAATACATAGCTGAATTAGTGGTTGTTATTCAAATATACTTTTTCTAGATGTTTGTTAATTTGCATAGTTGCTAAATAAACACATTCTCAGAAAATGTGTATATATATATATATATAAAAAAAAATAAAGCTAACTAAGAGCTTCTCCATTATTAAACTGGTACATTATTTTCTTTAGGATTGTGACACAATGTTAGACCATGCAAAACACAGATTTATCTCCACAAAGCCTCAGAAGGGCAAAATTTATGTACAAAAGCAAACCTGTACATGAAATTATGTTTTATTTTTAGAAGGTGTTTTATAGTGTTTTTTTTGTTTTTGGGATTCACATAAATATATACTGGTGTGATAACAGTATAGGTTTGATTGGTTTTTGGTATACGTCTATTAATTAATAGTACTTATACTCAGGGGCGGGGCTTGTGGACAGGCAAGCCAGGCAGTTGCTTGGAGCCCCGGCCTTTAGGGGGCCCCCAATGGCTGACAAATTGTACTTCACAGCAACGACAAGACTGGGGATTTACTTTACAATGAAATGACACCGTAGTCAAAAACCCCCTTGTTGGGCCCCCA